CTCGGACAGCGCCGCGGGGGCGGCCCGGCGCGTGCCGGCTGTGATTGGCCGGCGGCCAGCGCTCATTAGCATAGTGTACCCTGACCCGCGGGAGCAGCACCGGGTCTGCTCGGAGCCGCACCGGAGTGCGCGGGGCCGGCGGCGCAGGGCACGGATGCCATCGCGCTGTGCGCGTCCGGATGAGAAGTCGGAAGGTAGGACGGCCAGCCCCAGGAGGGCAGTGCGGGTGAGGCGCTGGCCAGCCCCCGCCGGGTGGGACTTGCTCACTTGCTCCCCTTCGCCTTCTGTACAAAGCGTGAAAGCCGAACGCTCAGCCGTGAGAAGTCTTGACAGATCCAGTTTAGGGAGGTGGCGTGGCGGCGCCCAGCTATAGTCCCGGCATTCAGGAGGCTGAGGCAGGAGGATTGAGGCTGAGCCTGGAGGATCGCTGCGAGTTGGAGGCCAGCCCGAACTGCAGAGCAAGACCTTGTCTCAAAGAACCAAAAAACCAAAACATTTGCTTTTTATTCTGGAGAAAGACTGAGTTCCTTTGTTTAAGGCCTGTAGAACAGTCTTTTTTCCCCTGTGTTTTCTTTTTTTTTTTTTCTATGTTCTTGATCTTTGGGGAAATATTGAATAATGCTCATTCGTTTGGCAAAAGTTTATCTGAAAAAGATCTACAAAAACAATGTAATTTTCCTGCAGTAAGATTCCCCCCCTTAACTTAAAAAAGAAATATATCTGAATCACCTCAGCTACAAATAATGTTTTTTATTTTTGAAAATATAAATATAAATCTCATTTTCTAAAGTTTTATTTTACTTTATTTTATTGGTACCAGGAATCGAACTCAGGACCTTATGCTTGCCAGGCAGGCGCTTATGCCACTGAGCTGTATTCCCGGCCCCTTAAAGTTTTAAAACAATGAATCTGTGTGTGTGTGTGTGTGTGTGTGTGTGTGTGTGTGGTGCCAGGGACTGAACTCAGGACCACAGAGTTCTGTGCATTACCACTGAGTTACGCCCCCAGCCTTAAAATATATTCTGGTTTGTGGTGACAAAACTTGGGCTGTCAGAGTTACTGCTGTTGCTATTCAGTAGGAACATGAAGCTGCTGCTTGGTATTCGCGTCTTCCATACGAGTTATCTAAGGCTTGGAGCCACATGGGCACACTGGTTCAGGCCTGGAATCCGGGAGATTGCAAGTCACTCATGGAGACCTTGTCTCAGAAAACGAGAAGGAGTAGGGATAGTTCAGTGGCAGAACACCCCTTATTTTGATAACCAGTATTGGAAAAAAAGGAAGGAAAATCACAGAGAAAAACCCACCTTAAATCCAACTATATCTTAGGTTACTCAGTGTTTATTTCCCGAATAAAGTAAAACAGCAGAATGTCACTTAAAACTCACAGCATTGGGCTGAGGCAAAGCTCAGGAGCAGAGCACTTGCCTGGCGTGTGCAAGGCCTTGGTTAGAGCCCAGCCCTGCAGAAAACAAGCGAGCAAGGGAACAACACTTTGGTGGGGGTTTAATCTTAAAAGTCGGTGTCTGAGGCGGGTGCAGGGATCTCATGTGCCTTGAGTTTGAAGGTGTAAAAGTGGGACAGCGGGGACAGTCCAGCTAACGTCACTTCATGGCCAAAACTCCCTCCTGGTCAGTGATGGGGAAATGTTAGGAGTAAATACAGACGAATCACTAAGACCAGCAGGACTCGCTAGGCTTCAGACCATTGCTGAGACTGGTGGCTTGAGTTTACTGTTAAGTAGCTCTGTATAACATCATCACATCCTGTGTGTAAGAGTCCCGACAAATGAAAGAAATGTTACACACACGAACGCGTTTCGCTTCTTTTTGTTTAACGTTACTGAGGATTGGACCCAGGGACACTTCACCCCTAAGCTCCATCCTTAGCTCTTTTTAGTTTTTGTTTTGAGACAGGGTCTTGCTGAGCTGTCCGGGCTGGTGTCAAACTGGCAGTCACTGTGCACCAGCCTCCTGGATGGCAGGCTGGGGCTGCAGGCCTGCACCACCATGCCTAGCTCCATTGTCCTCTTTGTATCTTATTAATAAGCACATTTCATCCGCAAAACATTCATTTTTTCCGTCAGAGAAATATTTTAAATGTCTTTCCTTTCTTCTTTGTTTCTTCCCTTCCTTCCCTTTCTCCTTCCCTTCTTCCCTCCTAAATCCTCTTTAATCAATTACAGTCAAAAGTTGGAATACATGCAGTTTGAACATTTTTGAATGTCACATAATGCAGTTTAATCAAATAAATGGGATGGAATGTTCTCGAGAGGTGGGGCGGAGAGTTGTTACTGAACATAAGCTCAGAAAAATCGTAGAGGAGGCTTTGGGGTAAATGAGAGGGGAAGAGGCAGTAGTTTAAAGCAGCCCTCCGCTGCGCGGTCCTCACCCCTGCCCCGTGACGCGTGTCTGGATGCGCGGCGTCTGTCACAGCGGGACGGTGTTGGGGACCGGCCACGGCACCTGTGGGAAGAGCCAGGATGCTGCGCAGCGTTTTCCAGTGTGAGACTCCCCCGACAAAGACCCGCCCGGTCCAAAGTGCCAGCCGTGCTGAGGTTAAGCGGCCCGTTTCGGAGGCTCAGGCCAGCGCAAGGATGCTTTTGATGATATTTGGAAGTGCGCAGGAAGCACTGAGACACCAAAGCTAACCCCTGTGGCGCTGCGCAGGACCAGATACCCAGATCGGCCCAGTGTGATGTTTCCCCTTGAAACTTCGACCATGTTAGCTAACTCACAGAGACATTTTTTGAGGAACAAGTCCAAGCCAAGTCTTCTTCTTCTGAAGAAGGTCCCACCCATTGGTTACAGATAAGAGCAGTTTCGACGAAGGCGTTCCTAACCTGGGGACAGCAGTGACAGGCGCAGACCTCAGGGCAGTGGCGGCGATCTCCCTGCTCGGACTCCCTGGGGCTGCCTGCCTCCCTGGTCCCTTCTTTATTAATGCGCTGGCGCTTGCAGAAATGTCAGTGAAGCCTACTGCTGGCAGGAGGGCGTGAATTCAATCTGAGTGGTCAGTGTTACTATCATTTAGTTTTTCTTAGCCAGTCTTTGGGTCTGAACCGTTCTAGTGGACCGATCGGCTGATACCCAGAGCCTCCAGGAGCAGAACTCCCAGGTCCATCGGAGCGAGCCGGGTCTCATCATGGAGCCCAGCGACTTTGACTCTGACGACAAAGAGCTGCTGAGCTGGGACATTAACGACATGAAGCTGCCCCAGGTATGTACCGCTGAGGGCTGCATGGCCCTGACTGTCTCCGCTGGCACCTGGAGGTGACCGGGGAGGGCTTCGGCTGGGCCGGCGCCCTGAGCTTAGCCCAGTGTCCCATGAAGGAATTTGAAGTGGAAATTCGAGCCCTGTGACTTAAGCAGCTCTTATCCCGAGTTCTAGACCGAGACAAAGGCAGTGCTGCCCCTCCTTTTCCAAAGCTGGCGGGGCCCACCGGTCAGCCCCAGCCTTGCTGCCATGAGAAAGCTCATGATCATGTATTTGCCTGCAGACTGACTCTTCATTATGCGCAAACCAGGTGTGGTGACTAACACCTGTAATCCCAGCACTCAGGAGGCTGAGGCAGGAAAATTGCCTGAATTTGAGGCTAGCCTAAGCTACATAGTGAGTTCAAGGACAGCTTGAACTACATAGCGAGACCTTGTCTCAAAAAATAAATTATCCATAAGCCCCTCTACTGCTGTATTTGCTATAGTAAATGTCTTAAACTAACCTCTAGCTGAACTGTCCAGTTCTTGTAGGATGTCTGTCAGTGCCATATGCACACACTGGTTTTGTTTCCAGGTGGTGAGGGCCTTTCATTTCATATTTTCTTGGTCCTCCTCTTTGATAATTGACTTTTTAGTTCTTTTTCTTTCTTACATTCCCCCCCCCCCAGCGCCTTTTTTCTGATACTCAGGATTAAACCCAGGGCCTCAGGCCTGTTAGGCAAGTGCCACTGAGCTATATTCCCAGCCCTGTTTATTATTTGTTTGGAGACAGGTTCTTGCCAAACTGCCCAGGCTAGTCTCGAACTTGTGATCCTCCTGCCTCAGCCTGCTGAATAGCTAGAATTACAGTCATGCAATGCCATGCCTGGTGACTCTTTTAACTCTCAGTTCAATTTAAAGCACTAGTTGCCTAAAACTGGTTTTCCATGTGTGCTTTTCCTGGCTCTTGGTCCCCTCTCTTGGCATTTGAAGGTGATTTCCGTGGAAGTTGTTTGGAAAGTACTAAGCGACACGGACGCCCCTCTGCCCAGCCCGATCCTGGGGACGGGGAGATTGAATCATCCCAAGCAGGGAGAAGGGATGGAGGGTGCAGTCCTGGTTTGTAAGAAGCCCAGCTTTCCACTCTAACAAAGATCTTCCTTTGGTTCTCTCTATGAAATTTCCCTGCTAATCTCCCTTTCTAGGTCTTGCGGGGTGGTGGAGGACAGAAAGTGTACCGCACTCTCCATTCGCTTAAAGGCGGTTGAATAATTCATAGCTAAGTGACGGAAACCTCATTTTTCGGGAATTTTGTTGGTAGTTGCTCTTCATTGGTATTAAAAATTATTGCAGCTGCTTTGGGAGAACTTGAAAATGCACTTTAATTACTCTAGACTCAGAGACCAAATTTCTGCCTGCAACTGGTTTCCAGATGGGAAGCCCTCCCCCTGAATAAGAGCTGGGTGTCCACAAGTCACAAGCGAAGTTACAGCACACAGGAGATGCTGCAGTGCCACAGCTGAGAGCAGATTTCAGTGGAGCCCGAGAGCCCTTTGAAGTGACGGGCAGTGTTGTGCGCTGACGAGCACTTTTTTTTTTTTCTGGGACAGAGGATCCGTATCAGTTATCAGATCCAAAACAAAGGAAGGGAAGACCTCTTTCCCTGAGGGAAAGTTAGGACTCATCCAAGCTCAGGTTCCAACTTGCACGTTCAAAAACAAAAGCATTCTCAGCTACCCAAGTCAGTAAACTGAGGAATTTATGGCAAAAATACATGTTCTCGAATACATTTTAGAAATGCATCACTGTGGGTTATAGAAAAGATACCAAGAGTACCTGGAGAAATAACCAAGTGCCCTTCAGCTTGTAACTGTACCGGGGAAATGACTAAACATATCAATATCCCCCATTTATTTTTCCTTTTTCTTGTTTTGTGGTACTGAGGATTGAACCCAGGGCCTTCACACTGAACTACATCACTCACCCTTTTCTATTTTTAATTTGAGACAGGGTTGTTTGTTTGTTCGTTTTTTGACACGGGGCCTCACTATGTAGCTTAAGCTGGTCTTGAACTCACTATGTAGCCCAGGCTGGCCTCAAACTTGCAGCGATCCTCCTGCCTCAGCCTCCTGAGTGCTAAGATGACAGGCATCACCGTCACACCCGATCTGAGACAGGCGCAGGGTCTTGCTAAATTGTGCGGACTGAGCTCAAACCTGCTATTCTGCCTCAGCCCCAAGAGTGCTGAGATTATGGGTGTGCGCCACCCCGTGCGGCTGCACCTTAATGTTTTCTGATAGGGACAGCGTCCTCCAGCCCGCTCCAGAGGCAGGGACCAGGCAGAACAAAAAGCCGAAGGCCTGGAGGGGCCTTTGGAATGACAGGCCTTTCTATTCTGGAACACGGCTGAGGCGGGCGTTGGCACCAAGCTCAGGGCCCGGGAGCCCGCAGGAGCCCTTCAGCTCTTCTGAGAAGGAGGGGCGCACACAGGCCTCCAGGCCCCTCCTGGGTCCGGTAGACGAGGACTCCAGAACACCAGCCCTGCCAGGTACGGCGCCCAGCCTGCGGGCCCCACGGCTCCTTCCTGCGCGGCTCCGGGCTCTGCCAGCCTCCGAGGAGGCAGCGGCTCCTCCCGTGTCCTGCCTCGCGCCCCAGCTGCTCGGAGCAGGGTGCTCTGTGCAGCCCACGCAGAGGGAACAGCCGCGCAGGCCAGGGGGCGCCCGGCTCTCCGCGGGCCCCGGGAAGGCGGCGGCCCCCCGTGATTCCTCTTCCCCATCCTGCCTGGTCTTTAATACGCAGTCTATGTGGGCACTAAAAAACTGGGGTTCTGAGGAACAGATATAATGTCTTGTGAGGATCGTGATTTTACCCAATTATATTCTTTATTCCACCTGTACAATTAAGTTTTCATAGCTTACATTCTCACCATAACAATTAACGTCTGTAAGCCACAAGCAAATTTCTTTTCTGTTCACCTCACAGGCTTCAAGTTTGAATCAGTAAGTGATACTCTGGGGGGAAATGGTGACCCAAATAGTAATAGTCTGGTCTCAAAAATGCCTCCTCTCAGATGTACGATGAGATACATACGGATATATATGCATGGATCTACTGTGGACAGCAGCGAACAGAAACGTCATCAGAGACAGGCTTTTCTGAGTGGCCGGGGGCAGGGGGACAGACAGGGTCACAGGCCGAGGCCCCCGGGGACCACTGTGCTGTGCGAACGTCCATGGGGGCTCTCCTGACTCCCGGGCTGCTGGGGTGAGATCAGCACCCACCGAGAATTGCGGCCTTGTAGACGAACACTACAGGACCTCGGAAGAGGGAGCTGTCACTCAGCACCATTCTGGCACAGACAACAAGGAGAGTGTCTGGCAGACGGCTTTTTAAAAGATTTTTAAAATTTTGTGTGTTTGTTACTTGAGACAGGTTCTTGCTATGTAGTTCAGGCTGACCTCAAACTCACAGTGATCCTCCTGCCTCAGCCTCCCGAGTGCTGGGAGTACAGGCGTGCGCCACCATGCCCGGCTTTAGCAATCCAGGGAAAGGGCAGGGCACCAAAGCCTGGAGGTTTGTGGCTGTCGCCTCTGGAGGGCGCTGTGCACAGGAGCGCCGCAGGAAGACTGGGGGCCCCTGGGGGCGCTGGTTTGGAGGAGGCTGTGGCGAGGACTCGCTGACGCGCAGGCGGTGGGGGTCGCGGGCCATAGGAGAGGAAAGTTTCACGTCCGCTCTCAGGGCTCCGACCCTGCGCCCCTCAGAACGCTTCCCTCCCCATTCTTGTCTGCTCCGCGCTCCCTCCTCGTTTCAGCCGTTGCACTTGTTTCTGACCATTTGGTTGCGATTCCTTTTCTCCTTAATATCACAGGCTCTGACTCACAGCCCTCACTGCTGGGAGCTTCTTTCCTCGGGGCTAATGCAATGCACCGGCTGCGCTTTCCTGCCTTGCTCCCTCTGAGCTGCATTTGCACTTGGAAAGTTCACAGATCATAGCTTTAGAGTTGGCTTGGTCCAAGCAGCAAAAACCTGTTGTTGGTGTAGTCTCACCTTCATTAAAAACGTGGATAGCAGGGGCTGGGGATTTAGCTCAGTGGCACAGCACCTGCCTGGCAAGCGCAAGGTCTTGAGTTCGATTCCCGGTACCAGAAAAAAAACAAAAAAAAAAAAATGTGGATAGCATGGTTCCCAAGAGTGTCACAGTCTCATTAATGCTGACTTTGATACCTAAGAAAGAGACTTGTAAGAGCTTTCTTCCTCCCCCTCTCCCTTAAAAACTGGGGAATAAATTCGGGGTATACTGTCCTTAGTAGCACCATTTCATAGAGAGAGAGGGACATGCCCTCCATCTCAGTCTAGCCCACGCTCCCAGCAGAAGTAGGGTTGTTTTGATTCCACCACAGCTGACAAACACCCTGAACTATTTTGTTCCTAAACGCCGAGCACTTTTCAGTTAAACCTGGGACCAAAGCCACACTTAACCCCTAACTCATACTGTTCCAAGGTTTAAGGACATTTTTTGTAGAGAAAATATTCTCTGCAGCAAAATAGCAGAGCCAGGTACCAAAGGGCCCCAGCTTGGATCAGTTCATTCCCCGGTCAGGATTTTAGCCAGCAAAAAAACGTCCCCTGCTTCTGCACGAGCCCAAACCGAGCCAAGCTGAGCGCTTGCTGTTAATTCAGGGAGCTGTCACCAAATGTGTCGTGGTGCTAGGGAGCTAAAAATAAGTTAGATTCTGGGGTTTTTGTCAATTATTATCTGATTGCATAAGCGGGTCACATTTTTGGTCTGACGGGACAGCATGGCTTCCCCCTCTTTCCCTGTGGCTGTCTCCTGTGCCTCAAGGTCATTCAGACTTCCCAGGGACAGCTCCACCTGGAGGGGCGCCCGTGGTCACCGGGCCCTCGCTGCAGGGCCTGGACTCTTCCGCCGCCCTGTGCTTGTGGTAGGATGGGCAGCAGAGCTTCCTCTGCGTCCCCAGCAGCTCTCTTCCTAGGTGGGCAGAGTGGCAAAGGAAAGGGAGAAGGGAAGCTGTGCCAAGGGGCGGGGTCAGTGCCTTTGGGACACTGACCAAAGCAGCTGTCCCGGGACCCGGTCCCTTCACTCGGGTAAGAAGCGGCAGGATTGGTCTAAGGGCTCATTCTTGAGAAGATGCAGAAACATTCTGCTGAGGTAGACTTTTCCTCCTTGATGACACGTGGAGTTCATCCGCTGGGCCCAGAAGAGGACAGCTGCTGGACGGCTTTGTGTGGCTCAAAACGCTGGCTGGATTTTTTTTTTTTTTTTTTTTTTTTTTTTTTTT